TATCTATTGGTGGTACATCTCGGTTAATCGGCCGAGGCTGCGTGCGTTGGATGGCGTCCAGTATGGATGGTGTAGGGGTGTCGTCTTCTTCTTCGTCTGATGAATCTTCAGTTGGCTCAACCTCTTCGTCCCAAAGGTCTTTGATTGGCTCGAATGCGTTTTCTGTGTCTGTCGGTGTTGTCGCGTATTTACCAAAATCAACCAGTCCTAGATTCATTTCCAGGGGGCTGTGTGCTAGCGGGCTCCTCATGTTTGCTAGTCTTGTATCTGGTGTGTCCACTCGTTTGTGAAGTATTATCGTTGATGGGATCTTGTGCATTCTGAATGCTGATTCTTTGATTGGGGTCGATCCTCTCTTCTTTAGCATGGTGCTTGTTCCTGGGATCTTTTGTAGTCTGGATGAGTTGTCTGATGCTTTCTCGATGACTCTATAGGGTCCTTTTGTTCTTAGCACCAGTTTTGCTGGTATTCCTGCAGAGGCGTTTGATTGTACTTGTTTCCGAACCATAACAAGGTCTCCAATTTCAAATTTCCGTCGCGTTCTGGTTTGATTCTTGAGCATTCTGTGGTGTTCCCTTCGTTCCTCACTGAGAAGTTTAAGCAGTTCCTTTTGTCTCCAGAAGAGTGGGAACATTGTCTCAATGTGCTCTAGTGTGTTCTGTCCTGGCGTTTGCTGGTGCCGTGTCCTGTTTTTCTGACGCGCCTCCGATATTGACAATGCCGCTGCTGCGTTGTCTAGTGGAAATTTGAAGTGTCGTGCCACTGCTGCGAATGCTCGTTGGATATCCGTGCCATCTACTGGGGCTGCATTCCATGCATATGTTCCAAACATGGTGTTCATTGCCCATTCTTCATAAGTGTTCATGTCGGCTGCTCCGATTCGTTGCACCTTGTTGAGGTATTTGTGGAATCTTTCACAGAGTATTCCGTCGTGGTTTTCCGGACTGACCGTGTGGTATGCGATTCCAATCGTGTCGCATAGGGCGGTAAATTGATCTTTGTTTTCACTGCCTTCGTCGATGAGGATCAATCGTGGCAGGCCTCGGACCGTGAAGAATTGCGAGAATGCTATTCTGGCCATGTTCCCTGAGTCCATGGAGCTGATGAAAGCGACCGTGGCACAGCCTGTCATGTTGCAAACATAAGTGACGACTCCTTTGTTTGTGAGCGTCTTCCTCAAAGTTGTGGACAGTTTGGTAGCGTTCTTTGTTGATCCTGGCGACCAAATGTCCATGCAACATACGTCAAATGGTTCTTCTATTGGGGTCCGTTGTAGAATCTTTTGGTTTTTGTGGCTCGACGCGTTGGCTGCATTGCAATGTCCGCATCCTAGGACTGCTTCTCTGATATCCTTTGCCATCCCGGGCCACCAAAACCTTGCTGCTATCCTGTAATACGTCTTGTGGAACCCTACGTGTCCTGCTAGTGGTGATGCGTGGTATGCTGCTATGATTGTGGCTCTCAATCTTGGTGGGACGACCGCTCGTCGTAGTTGACGCATTGGTGCCGACTTTGGTTCTTCGAATTGGTAGAGGATGCCGTTTTCAATCTCTAGCTTATCTCTGTTGAGTTCTGAGGCATACGTTGGGTTTGTGAGCTTTGATCTGTCTACCTTTTTGTTGTTGCGGATTGCCTTGATGATGTGGCTGATGTCCGGGTCGCCATTGCATTTCTCGCGCCAGTCTTCTCCGGTTGGGATCGGTAGTGTTGTGAATGGGTTGATGGATCTGCTGACTATTGCTGTTAGGTGTTTCTTGGCCTGTTTTGGTCTTGCGTACATTGTCAAGAATTTGTGTTCTGTTTTGTCCAATAAGTGTTGTCGCTGGATGTTTTTGCACATGCTGTAAGTGAACACTTGCTGCCACACCTGTTGTGCTGCCATGCTCTTCATTGTCTCTTTTGTCTCTCTCCAACTGAGTTTCTCCTCAAACAACAGTTTTCTGCTTTCCTCTTTTGTGAAACCAAACAGGCTGAGGGCTTCCTAGGGTCTGATCGTTCGGACCGGTGATGTTACCTCTGCGTCATTGGTTGTGATTGCTATCGCGCCTTGCGCTGAGATCATGGGTGTTGTGTGGAAGCTGGGGGAGATTTTGGTGGTATCGTAGATCTCATGTTCTTGTGTGTGTCCTTGCGAGTTGACCGTGTGGACTCTGTTTTGTCCTATCCTTGCCACGTTGAAATATCCCGTGTAGCTTTCGTTTGGTGCGTCCATAGCATTTTCGATCCTTCCTGGCTGTGCGTATGGATCTTCCTCAACCAAACTTCTGCTCCATGCCTCCGTCACTCTCCTCCCGGCTGTGAGTATTATGGTGTGTTCGGTGTCTATGTCTGCTTGTGCTGTGCTGCCTCTGGCTGTGCGTGTCGCGGTTTGTAGGTCGGTTCTGTCTCTAGTTTCTCGTTTTATGTATTGTTCCCATTCGTCGATGATCTTGCTGGGTGGCTTTCCTGTCCACATGAGTATGCATTGTGTTGCTCCCTGTGTCGTTGCTTTTCTGATGATGGTGCGAAGGGCCTCCGCGGTTGTTGAGTTGTATTTTTCCATGTTGGTGACAATCAACCATTCTACTGGCGGTTGTGTTGTGTTGTTGGCTAGCCTTTTGGCAAACGTTTCAATGTTTGGTATGTCGTGTTGTAGCTGCCAATATTCCTCCTCGCTGGTGCTGGCTGTTAGCATGATGGTTCCTCCCAATAGTTCAAAGCTGTCTGCAATAGTGTCTAGGGATCGTCCAATGATCCATGTTGCTCTTGCTGTGTCGCATATTTGCGCTAGTTCTGTTCGTGTTGTAATCCGGTCGCCTTTGACAGTGGGTAGTAGGTGCTGTCTGGGCCATGGCGGTGCTTCGTCTTCTCTGAGTTTCCATGCCGCCGCAATGATCGGGTTGTCTGTGTGGGCTTCTTCTGTATTCCTCCATGTGCTCAGTATGCCCTCGTATCTTGACAAAAGGTCGCATTCCGTGAGCATCTTTGCTGGTCGGTGAACTATGGTGAAGACGAATGCCAATAGCTCTAGCTTCCATCGTTGCAGTGTGTGTGTGATGTCGTATTCGCCTTCAAAGAACTTGATTAGTCCGCTGCAGTCCGTGATCCATGTAAATTCTTTCCCGATGAGCCATTGTCTGAACTTCTTCATCGCCCATCGGCCTGTTGCGGCTTCTCCGACAAAGGAATGGTAGTCGCGCTCTTTGCCCTTGCATATTCTCGATATGAATGCTATGGGTCGGAGTCGGAGTTTTGACATGGATTTGTCGAACTCGCATTTTCCTCCTTCGATCTCTTTCCTCATTGATTCCTCTGCTTCTTCTGTCGTGTCTGCTTGTAGGAGGACCGCTCCCATGGCGTTGCTTGACCAGTCCGCTTTCAAGTAGAATCGTCTCTTTGGATTGGGTCTCTTCAATATGGGTCCTGTGATGATAGCTTGCTTGAGTTCGTCCAGCGTTTTGTCGTCCTGCGGCTCCCAGTGTGCTTTCACTTGTTCTGCTTCCTCTTCTTTTGTGCATTCTCCGGGCTTTGGTTTGTCCATCACCATGGTCCTCCATCGTTGGATCTTTTCCTCTAGATGTGGTATCCATTGGGAGTACCATCCAAATAGTCCGTTGATCATCTGGATGTCCGAGTATGATGCTGGTGGGCAAAGCTTTTCGATCGTCGAGTACTTGGATTGTGCCGGGGCGTTTCCATTGGGCAGTAGGTCACGTCCCACAAATTCTGCCCGTGCTGGTAGGAACCTCGTTTTTCTTAGGTTGACGGTCACTCGGTATCGTTGGAGGATTTCAAGTGTGGCTACAAAGTATGCGATCAGTGATAAGATGTTGGTGTCGAAAAGCATGATGTCGTCGACAATTACTGATGCGTTTGGGTCTGTTTCTAATAGAGCAATTGCCACTTTTGCTTCAATGTCCTTGACGGCGCTTTCGCCCAGGATCAGCGTGATGGCCGCTCTGTGCTTGTTGATGATGTCCAGTAGTTTTTGTAGTGCTGCTTTTGGGTCTCGTTTGTACAACTCGTGCCATTCCTTCTTGAATTGAATGGTTACACAGACAAAGAATGCGTGGGCGCTTAGTATCCCCATTGGCATCACTAGGAAGTGCTTCTTGCCGTCTGGTACGAAGAACGCCGTTTTCTCTTTTGATGAGGCAGCCATCTTGATCTGCCAGTAGCCTGCGTCCAAATCCATTGTGATAAAAAACTTTGCATCTCCAACTGTATCCACTGCATCGTCACATCTCAGGATGTAGAAGTGGAATGGTCTCGTGACTGCATTCAGTTTGCGGTATGACACGCACAATCGGAAGATGTATTGGGACCAGTGGACGTGTCCTTGGTTTGGTTTTGCTGCCAGGACTACTTGCGCTCCCCATGGCCCGAAGTCGTCCTCGATGAGTCCTTTGCTCTCTAGTTGTTCCACTAGGTTTGTCATTACCCGGCTTTCGTGCGGCCCGTATCTCGGTTGCTTGCAGCACACTGGGGGGATGGTGCCTGTGTCGATGTTGAATTCGTAGCCTAGGATGTGTTTTTGCATCCCTTCTTTGGCAAAGACGTCCCAGTATTCCTTCAAGATTGCGTCAAATATGGGCTGCCATTCGCTTGGACAATCCCTGTATTGCACTTGTGACTCAAGTTCCTCCAAGTGTTCGTCGGCGTTCCATTCTATCATGTCTGTACGCCTCTGCACTGGTGCTTTTTGTTTGATAACCGTCTTTCCGTGTTCTTTGAACATCCAATCGTGGGTTGCGGGACTGTCCAAGTCCGCCTCCGGTTCTTCGTACACATTTTTCACTTGCGCTCGCCAAATCCGTTTTGGAACTTGGACTGGCTTCGTCCCGTCAGGAAGCTGTCCCCGTCTGGCAATGATTTCCTCTTCCTCTGTTGCTGATGTTGCCGCAAACGTTTGATATGCCGCTTCCTTGATGGTCGTGATCATTGGATGGGCGATGGGAGAGAACCCTTGCGTTCTGCTGATCTGTTTGTCGTATCCTGCTTCCAGTTCTCCCCTGTCTTTGTCAAAGGTTCTCGTCTGTGGTGTCAAACCTGACAGAGAATACTTTGCGATCCGATGATTGGTTCCGTTCCACGTGTTCCGTTGGGAGAAGTCTCGGGCATTCCAATGTGAGGTCAAATTCCTGGTTGAAGAAGTTGGAAATGACCGCATTCCTGTAGAACTGGGCTACCAGCTTGGCTTTGAGGATGAATGGTAATCCATAAAGCGTGTTGATCGGAAGGTCGTCCGTCAGTCCTATCATCAAAGTGTGATTCTCTCCCTGTCCGTTTTCAAAAGGAATGAAGTACTCGATGATGACGTCAATTTCCACACTGTCTTTGATTCCCCCGATCTTGATTGGAGCGTAGCGGATCTTCTGTAGGTCGAAGATCTGTTTGACGAGGTGTGGATGTTGTTTTGCGATGGCCAGGTGGTATTCTTTCTTCCCCATGTTGCAGCATCCTCCGGTGTCGTAGAGTCCTTTCAAATTGGCTGCGTTGGATTCGTTGAGTCCGATGGGAAAGTTCAAGAATGCCAGCATGTCATTGACCGAGAAGTTCAGCTGGTGGGCTTGTTCCATGGCCGCGAAGCTTCCAAAGGTGACGAATGATAGTGCCGGCTGGGTTGACTGCCGCTTTGGTCTTTTCCTTGATGCAGCTGTGGAAGTGTGTGCCGTGACCGCTTCGACGAGATTCACCAACAGGTTTGTCCTCTCTCCCGATTCTGTCTGTGGATCCTCGATGGCTCGAACTGTATCGCAGATTGCTTGGGTCATATATCCTCCTCGTCTATAATGGGAATTATTATTTCTATTTCGATTGCGTTCTTCGTTCTTTCGTTGCTTCCACTGGTCCAGTTTTTCATAGAAACGTTTTAGGACTTGGGGGTCCTCTTTGTGTGGGCAGTCTCGGAAGTTGTGGCCTTCCTCGTTGCATCCCCAACAGTGGATTGGGTATGGCTTGCCGCTTGCCTTTTGTAGTGCTTCTTCCGCTTGGCTGAGCATCGTCCACCCATTTTCTTCTTCTTGCTGTTGTTGGAGTTCCTCAATCATACTCATGCACGACAGCATGTTGACAACCGCTTCCGGGCAGTATAGTTTGCTGTCGGATGTCGGGACCACTAATTGTCTTCCTTGGCCGTCGGTGACCCGAACGTTTTGTTTTGCCGCCATAGTTGTAGGGGTCGTCATTGTGGTGAGGAAGGTTCCCGCAGTCTCTATCTCTGGAGCTTGGAAGGAGCGATCATCTTGGAATCCTTGGTATCCTTGGAATCCCTTAGATCCTTGGAATTCCGGTTGGTGGAATCCTGCAAAGGCTCTTCCGCCTGGTCTTGGTGGTGCAGATCGTCCTGGAACGTAGCTTCTGTTCGGTCTGATTCGTCCCGCGCTGTTTGCAATTCCCACAATTTGCTTGATGCGCTTCTCCTCCTTCTCAGCTCGTTCGCGTAGGCGGTGCATTCGAGACAGGTTGCTGGGGTAGTCCATAAGTAGTGGTCCTGCCGCTCCCGTTTCTAGGTGTTCAGCCACAACGTCCTTGATTTCTTGCGTGAAGGCTTGGAACGCGACTCCTGCCAAGTCTGATAGGTTGGTTGGCGGGGGATTCTCGTGGTTGAACCCGTTTAGAATCGTGGCAATTCTGCCAAATAAAGTAGCCACGCTGTCGTACATCATCGTGCCTCCTTCGTATCGGATCATGTTGAGCTTTGCCAGTTGTTGGTTTGGCGTCTCCATTCCTTGTTGTAGTCCGACGTAGGTGGCCGTGAGTGCTTGTTCTAGTGCTTGGAATTGGGTCTTTGCAATCTGTTGCTTGGACCACTTTTCGTAGGCCTCGTTATCCGGTTCTCCGTCTCTGGTTGCGGCCCTCATCGAGAACTCTTCTCCCAATGCTGCCATTGCTGCGATGATTTCCTTGTGATGTGCTTGGTCCATTATCATTTGGCGAGTGATGGAAACGTCCATCTGATTCTGGACTCTTGGCACTGGAACGTAGACAGCTCTATTGGACGACGGCGGGAACTTTGTTGGGTTGATTCCGATATCCGTTCGTAGGGAACAGAGCCGTGGGACCAATCGGAGCTCGATTCTGAAGTATGTGGCGGCAGCTCTAAATGGGGCTGGAAGTCCTGGTCCCGGTCCTGTAGCGATCGCTTGTCCAGTGTTGTCGATGACGTGTAGGCTTGTAAACTCGTACACGTCACTATTCACGTCAAACAATTCGCTGGTGGCGGCGTTGACGAGCGAGCAAGACGCCGAAAGGCGTCTATGCTTTACTGGTGACAGTCGTCTATACTACTAGAAGAGAGCTAGAAGTAAGGAAGGCGTATCCAACTAGTAACTTTACGAGGTAACTAGTTTCACCAAACCAGGAGTATGTGGTTTCGATGAAAATCTTCTTCAGTGGCGTGTTTTAAGAAAACTAGTGGGTGTGGTGAGGATAACGTAGACAAGTACCATTGGGCTAATTGCCACGTGCCGCAGCAGTCATTTGGGGCGGCCGCGATCATATAGAACAAGAGAGGAAAACTCTCCCAATTGTGGAAGAGAAATGTAGGAAAACGAACAGAGAGTGGAAAAAAAACGGCCCTCAGGTGATCTAATCATCAAAGAATGATGACACCGTTGGGCCGTCTACGAATTCCAGGTTTCGTTTGCTCGAGACAAGATTCTCGAGATTAGGGGCACGACTGTAGCATACGATCATACGGTCAATGCCAATCTTGCCTCTCCTGTGTGAGGAGTCAAGATCCGAGAGTGGTCGGGATCCGGCGGGGCGGAAAAGAGTACGTCGCCATATACGTTGGATGTCGTGAGATGGCGGGTCGCTCGGATGGTATTGAAGGTGGAAGAAAAGTGGGTGTAGAGAGGGAGCAGGTGGTTGTAGAGCTCCGGGCGGAGGAGGTGTAATTGAGGAGCCATAGACTTGAGCTACAGCCTCATTGAAGATGGTTGTTAGTCCATCAGGTTTGTAGCCACGTTGAACCAAATGACGATAAAACTGGAGAATGTGTTTCTTTTGGTCGGACTCAAGGGTGCAGAGAGTTTTAAATCGGTAGATCATGCCTTTGATCATACCTCGAAGGACTCCAGGGGGATGTGCAGAATGAGGAGGGATGTAGGCATGAAGGTTCAGTGGCTTCTCATAGAGATCGGTGTGTATCTCATTGGTGTTTGTGATGGAAATATGAAGATCCAAAAATATAGCTGAACGGGAGCGTTCAGTAAAGTCCCACACAAGGGCGGAAGTGTTCATGTGTGCTTTGAAGAGGTTCCAGGCCTGGTCATCGCCAGGTTGTTGGAGCCAAATTCCAAAGACATCATCGATGTAGCGTTTATAGTAGACAATGTGGTCAGAAAAGATGTCACAACTGTCATCTTCAAACGGAGCAAAGTACATCATAGCCCAAGATGGGCAAGGTGGAGCACCCATAGCGGCTCCGTTATTTTGGAGCCAGTACGTGTCGCCAAATCGAAAGAGATTGTTATTCATAACAATGGATAGAGCAGAGAGCAGAGTTTCATGATCAACGTGTGTGAAGTTGTCGTAGTGTTCTTGTAGGTATTCGCGGATACTGTCTAGACACTCTCTAGTGGGGATGTTGGTGTACATCGCACGTGCGTCTGCAGTGAACAGTTTAGCATTAGGTGGTAACTGAAGCGAGGACAGTTGTGCTTGAAGTTCAAAGGAACTGGAGAGGTATGCATTTTGGGCTTTAGCCATAGGGAGTAATTTGTCATCACACCAAACGGCAAGTGCATAGAGAAGACTGCCGGAATAGGAGACAACAGGGCGTGTGGCGACTGGCGTTTTGTGGATTTTAAATAGAGGGTAAAAGACTGCAAAGGGGTCTTTGACTCGATTGATGTGCCGTTTGATGAACTTAATCTCGTCCGAGGCAAGATAAACTCGATTATCGGCAATCCATTCTAAAATTTCAACTTGAACTGCAGCGGCAGTAAGTATGGCGTCTTCATGAGAGAGGCGAGTGTAGGAGTTGACATCTGAGAGCAGAGTACGAACTCGCTGGATATATTCACGTTTTTCAATGATGCAAAAGCCCAGATTTTTGTCAGTGAGAGCAATGACAAAATTGTCTTGGGTTTGGGCCCATTGGAGAGCGCGGCGTTGGTGGGGGAGAAGGTTTGAGCGGCCTTGTCGGCGGACAAATTTCTCTAGAATTGCATTACAGAAATTGTTGAGACGACGTTGAACAATTGCAGGATATGTGAATCTCGGCGGCTCCCAATCCGATGGGACATACATTCGAGGGTTGTATTGACGATCAGTATTGTTGTCAGTCTCGGGGTTTGCATTAGTGGGATGTTGATCTGCAAAGAAGCAACGAATGCGGATTGCTCGGTCAAGGCGGACAAGTGTTGTAGTACGGTCAAATTGGCGAAGGAGCTCGCGAGGACCATTAGAATATCGAGGTATTGGAATGAACTTATGGCCCAAGCCCAAGAGTGGGTGAAGATCATAAGACGGTGTAAGTGTTGTTGTAAGGTCATGAAAAGTCATGGACTGTGGGCGGCAGAAGTAATACCAGGATGGTATGTTGCCTAAGTGATAGAGGGCGTTGGCAGAAACAGAAAGTGCAGGGTTGGCAGCAAAGCCAAAGGCTAGTTGCGTTTTCTTCCGGACCTGTGCTTGCGTTTGTTGCCAGCGTTGGACGAGTTCGAACGCTTGTTGTTCGATCTGTCTCTCGAGGCATTGGTGTTGGTGCCTTGAGAATCTCTGTTGGAAGCGTTGGCGGATTCTGCGGCTTGTGGGCCGTCCTGTCGAGGTGCGCGACCTGCGTTTGGATTTCCGCGTCCTCTTCCTCTTCCTCCTCCTCCGCGTCCTCGTCCTCCTTTGCCGGGGCGTTGTGGTTTGAGAGAGGCTCCCGGTAAACCTCTCTGGGAGTTTTTTAGCTGCGTTTCAAGGCCACGAATAGTACCTTTAAGGGGAGCAGTGGCTTTAAGCACCTCTCTCTGGATGAGAGTGGCAAGAGTTGCAGGAGGAAGAGCCGCTTCTTGGTCGATTTGCATTGCAGTGGCAGCAGTAGCTTCATTAGTTAGAAGTTCAGTCGACATTTTCTTCATACGGAGGGCGTTATCATTGTCTTTTTGTTGACGAAGATAGGCTGTCCAAGCATCAAGAAAACAGGTGCGGATGGATCGCCAAATGTGGGCAAGAGTGTCCTCAATGTGGCGATTGACGTTTTGGTTTTGAGCTGCGGCGGCAGCATTGTGGTATGGATTCAAGTTGGCCGCAGGTGCAACTACAGCTTGGTTTCCAAGTGGTAGGTTATTATTGTTAGCGCGGGGGAGGATATCCGGCGGAAGGAAAGGATTTGGTAGAGGCTCTGTGGCTGAAGTAAATTGAGTATAGTTCGCCTTCAGATGTTCCTTAGTAATGAAGTCAGGAAGCTCGAAAATAGGAGTAATCTCCTCGTGGTGACGGTCCATGATGGTGTTTGCATATTTATGAATTTGTTGTAGGTCAAGATCATTAAGAGTGATGTAGGCTTTGGAAGCTTTGTAGAGTGCCTCACAAAAAACTCGTTTTGCGGCTGTTCGGTGGACTTTTACGTCAAGTTTCGTAGCTTGGACAATGGTGGCTTTCGCTGCTTGTTCAAAAGTGCGGGCTGAATTGGACAATGTCGCCTCAAGATTTGCATACTCCGCATCTTGAGTTGTCAGCTTTGTGCAATGGAGTTTGCAATGGAGCTTGACCGACCGTGGGACATAGGCCGCTTCAGATTCCATTCTGGTAACAGCACGTTCTTTTTTGTTAGCAGTATCCATATGTGGCAGAAACTGTATGGTGGCACTGTTAATCAGAATGTCTCGTAGAGCTGGTTGGAGCGACGCACAATGGTTTTGGACAACGTCCTTGAAAGAGGCAAGGGGTGGTGCACTTGACTGGTCGCTAGCTGAGTTGTCGAAGCGAGTGCGTTTGTTGTCGCGTTGAGGTGTGGTCGCCATCTTCAAAGACTGTAGATGGCTTAACTGACGAGCGAGCAAGACGCCGAAAGGCGTCTATGCTTTACTGGTGACAGTCGTCTATACTACTAGAAGAGAGCTAGAAGTAAGGAAGGCGTATCCAACTAGTAACTTTACGAGGTAACTAGTTTCACCAAACCAGGAGTATGTGGTTTCGATGAAAATCTTCTTCAGTGGCGTGTTTTAAGAAAACTAGTGGGTGTGGTGAGGATAACGTAGACAAGTACCATTGGGCTAATTGCCACGTGCCGCAGCAGTCATTTGGGGCGGCCGCGATCATATAGAACAAGAGAGGAAAACTCTCCCAATTGTGGAAGAGAAATGTAGGAAAACGAACAGAGAGTGGGAAAAAAAATCTACCTTGTGTTCCATTGTTGTTTTTGTCTGCTTGATGGAGTTCACAGACTGTTGTAGGATCGCTTGCTTGATTTCCGGAGACTCTGTAGTTGGAGCCAGAACGGCAGTATCGATGGTATACTGGTTGTAGGTGATGGTTTCGTCAACGTGGCTTCCGTTGACCCAATACAATTTCTCGTTGACACGATCGCTTCGTTTTTTGTTTTTTTCATATTTGTGATGCGACGCGGCAGTCATCGCGGCGAATGCTCCGTTCTCCATATTGACAGGACTTGCTGACATCATCGCGAACGCGTTGCGCTGGAAATGATCAGGGTTGAACTGTCCTCCCCATGTGTTAGCTGATCGTGTGAACAAACTTGGTGGCTCTGACTGCGAATCGAATGCGTTTGGGCTTCGAATCTTGGGCTGGCTTCCACTTAACGTGCTATCGTTGTGCTCCTGGCTCTCATCGTAGAGAGAGCGTACTAGTGCGTTGATGTAGCTACTGTTGGACATGATAGACGGTGATTGATATTGCTATTGGGGTGTATTTACGGGGGTCTGAAGCAGCTGTGAGTAGATGATGAAAGATTGATCTTGGGCTGAATATTCGGCGATGACCGTTGGCCTTTGATCGCTCTAATACATCTGCTCAGGACTCGGCAGTCCAGTCAGTCACGTTACGTACGGACGTTCCAATATCCCATGTTCAAGTCAATGGCGGATGCATAATTAAATCCGCTGATATCCGTAAGTAAATCGGAAATTTTCGGAAGTGGGTATACTCGTTTTTGGAGCATTGAGTTTAAGACTCGAAAGTCCGTGACAAGACGGCATTGTCCGTTCGCTTTGGGGACAATAAATGAAGGAGCGCTCCATTCGCTGGAAGTGTCCTTTTTGAGAACGCCAATGCGAACTAAACGATCAATTTCTTTGCGGATCGTGTCTCTATGTATGAGTGGAATCGGCATAGGTTTTGCGTGGAATGGTTTACTTCCTGGTTTCAGTTTGAAGTCAACTGGCGGAATGTTCCACGTGCCTAAAGTGCCGTCAAATAATTCTTCATATTTATAGAGCAAACTTTTCAACGCGGTTTTCTCGTGCGCTGATAAATGATTCATTTGTTCAACGTCCGCGTTAATATCTGCCTTTTCGTATTTAGCGTCCAGAAGTTTAGACGCGCCAAATAGTTCTTCTTCTTGTTCTATTTCCATGATCTCTTCAAACATGTTTTGAAGTTCGTCTTCGTTTTCATCAGAACGTTCTGTGTAACCTTTCATGGGAACTGAAATTCCATCCCACATTAGCGATTGTTTGGACCAAAGGATGTCAATGCCTAGTGAGTTTTGTAGATCACGTCCAATGATCACGTCGTAGCTAGAGTATGAACTTTCGTCCACATGCATTGGGAAGGTTATTTCACGACTTGAGGTGAACTCTGGAATACAGAATGTGACGTTACATTTAGACTTGGTTGTAAAAGTACCAGCGTTGGTCGACCAAATTGTCTCTTTTGCTACATGATTTTTGCTATACATTGAGTCTGGAATGACATTTCGTTTGATGATTGTTTTGGAGCAGCCAGTGTCAATCAATACATGTAATACTTTAATTTTGTTACTCTCACTACTCTTAATCGTGACCTTTACTGTCGTAGTAAGATCGGAGATAGAGCGGTTGTCAGTGAGTTTTGGATTTCTTGTTTTGGCATTTTAAATTGCGAATAGTTGACTTACGTTGTCAGCCTTGGCAAGGGCTTGTTCCTTTGCGTTCTTCTTGGTCTTCTTAGGAGACTTAGGATTTCGTTTCTTTTTAGGAATCCGTTTTACATAACTAGTTTAACGTCGTCGTCGTCGTTGTCGTCGATATTTAGGAACTCGGTGAGCTCTTCGTCACATAGTGAGGCCATTTCCTTAGCGTTGGAATCGCCTTCGTTGAACATTTTCTTGGAGATTTCTTTCTTGGACATAGAAAAGCCGAAACGAGTAGTCACGTCGTTCTCGTTTTCTACGTCCATTGGTTCAATGTTGTGTTTTTCTTCTTTGTTGTTAGCAAGATCTTTCTTCTTGTTGTTACATTGGTCTTCAGTGTGACCATAGAATGTGAAGCCTTTTTTCTTGGTGCAATAGTCACAAATTTTCTTTTTGTTTGGGCCGTTTTTACGGTCTTTTTTGAAATTGCGGTATTCCGTCTTTTTCTTCGTAACTGTTGTTTTTGTTGGAATGGACCTTTTTTCCGAGAAACCAATGGTTTGGAGACGAGTCAAATAGTTGATAAGATCGATTTCCGTTTTGTTAGGATCGTCCCAACGGTAGTCACCTCTCGTCATATCATTCTCGACACTTCTTGGTAGACATTGGATCAAGATTTCACGTCGATGTTCTGGTGTTGGTGTTGTACCAGTTCCAGGGAGATGTTGGTAGCATCGGAACATGAAAAGTAGTCTGTTCCAGAAGACTCGGATCGACATATTCTTGGGCAATCTCAAAGCTTTGTTGATGAAGCGACGTTGCTTCTGACGAGCATCCAAAGTGCAGTAGCAGAGGGCAAAACTTTCCATTGCTGTGTCGAAACCCTGTTGGGTCGTTTGCTGATCGTCTGGAAGTTGAGAGACCGCTGTTTGCCAATTCTCCTTTGCTTGACCGGAGAGAATAGATAGAATCGTGTGGTGTTTTCCAGGAGCATTCAGGGCTTGTCCGACTTCGAGTTCGTTCCAAGTAAATCTGAATTGACAGTAGTCTTCCACTGTATCACCATCCCAAGGTGTGAATTCCTTTTCGTAGGTTGGTGTTGCGTTTTGAGGGTTGCGTCGGATCTTTTGTTTGATTTTGGCTTCGGCTTCATGGTCCCATTTGGATACTTCCTTGTAAAGAGGAATTGGAGCATCGTGCTTTGGGTTCTGGTCCAAGGCAGTACCGTTGATGATAACTTTCATGATGTTGAGTAAGTTTGGTTTAAATTCGTGGACTGTAAAAGGGATGATCAATAGATCTTCGCGAAGTGAATTCACTATGACTTAACCTAGATCAAAGGGATTTGATATCAGTTGATAATGAAATTGTGAGCATTAGAATAGTGGTTTTAGGTGCGCTATCTAGTCTTGGTTTGGCCAAGCTTTGGCCCAAAATATTCAGTAACGGTGCTGAAATATTCAGTAACGATCAAAGTTTTTAGGAGGGCCAATAATAGTTAGGCCTGGAATATTGAGTAACCGATAGGAGTATAACAAAAGCGTCTGTTGAAAAGAGCGTAAGATGTAACGTCTGCTGGAAGTACGTTGGAGGTCTGGCCGGATGACCAACGGTCTGTAGAGAGTACGTCATTCTTTCTTGTAGCGCATTGTCGTCGGCTTTGTGCTTGCCATTGAAAGACGAAGACATAGCATGTTTGCTTGCAGTGGATTGTCGTTTCTGCTTGCCGTCGAAGACAGTGAACCGTTGTAACTGGCGTCGTTGTCATGTAGTGATGTCCAAGGTGCTCCATGCTGACATACTAAGCAAGAACAACGCTCCAAAACAAGACATCGAATCCTAGACTGTCAAAGCAAGCCGTCCAGTATCTCTGGCACA